ATCTTAATGATGCTGTTAATCTTTTTTGTTCAAACCTTTAAAAATAATGTTGTGTGTGATGTGCTCAGAGTACATGTTGTGAATAACCTAAAACCACAATTCAACTCATCTTGAACCGTGTTGGCTCCAGAATTTATGAAGTTACAGAGGTCTGTCCAGCCGTTTATCTGTCAACACTCAGCTCATGTTACTCAGGTAATCAGTCTTAGCTTCAAAGTTTGAGTCAGAATCTTCAGGCGTTTTTGTGTTTACTAAACTTAATTAGATGCGATGGCCATCTTGAATAAAACAGACTCCAAAAGGTACCATAATCAGTTGGAGACTGAGTGGATACTTTTTCCACATTTCGTTCAAATTAGTCCAGAGGTTGATCACACATTTTGATAAAAAGATAGGGCACGGGTAATTTTGGAAACTGATGAGGGCATTTGCCAATGTTGTGTTAAATTAATAGTGACACACTCATCCGTCAGTGCTATTTAACATCTGATGACAGTTTGCTGTTTTGTTTGGCTGGTTGTTCTGTTTTGTAATCTAATCTGTGGTTGATATTCCAGAAACCGACTGTACTGGTTGTTTCCTGCTGAAGCAGTTTTACCGTAAAGGCTTATTGTTTTCATATCCACTTTCCATCAGACTTACAGTAAGCTGATGCACCACCGTCCTATCAATCTTACATTATAACAGGATTATCGTGTTCTTGCAACAAGAATCAGCAAACGTACTTTTATTCCTCACCGATTCTCCAAGACGCCGAAATGGAATGACCCTTATAAATACCTTCATGTCCTGATAAACTATGAGATGTACTTTACAGTGTTAGCATCACAGTCAGCTGAGTTAAACCTGTTTTCTTCTGCTCAAAGCATAAATCATACTAAGTTGCACTATAACTCACATGAATGAGTCACCTTTCCTGCCAGAGTTTTAAATTAAATTTGTCTTATGAAGTAAGATTTGAAAGGTGTATGCACCATTATATGTCAGCTCTTGTGAGTTGTGTTATCACTGAATGCTCAGGTAATACCACAACAAATCTTAGCTAAATATTTGAAAAACTGAACTAGCTATGGGCACTTTTGTTTCCTCATAGCAGTTGGCTGTGGCAGCCATCTTTGAGCTCCAAAAGAACTGTCAAACTGACTCAAATGTAAGAAAATACAGCCCCCTCCAAAAGTATTGGAACAAGTCAAATTCCCTTGTTTTTTGTTGTACACTAAATACATTTGGGTTTAAGATCAAAACACGAGACAGTTGTTCAGAATGCCAGCTTTTATTTCCTGGTATTTACATGTAGATGTGTTAAACAACACAGAACATACCACACTTTGTCTCAATCCATCCACATTTCAAGTTAGCATAATGAACGTATTACTGACATGTAGGTGTTGCCTTTAAGGTTGATTGTTCAAATATTAAATAGCCCTGAATGACTAGTCTCCTATTTGGCCTGGGCTTAAACCTACACTGCAAAAAATATCCACCTAACCAAGCTTTAAAATCTTATATCAGCCAAAAAGTCTTTTTGATCTTTTTTTGAGACTGATTTACTAAACAAGAACTGATTGTGTAAGAATAATCATCTTGTTTTCAGAATGTGTAAGATTATTTGTCTTGTTAGTCTGAAAATTTGACTCAAATTAAGTCAAAATTTCTGCCAGTGGAGTAAGAAAATTTTACTTGGTAAGATTCTTGAAATAAGAAAAAAATGAGTCAAATCAAGTATTTCAAGTAAAGTTTTCTTACTCCATTGGCAGAAATGTTTGACTTAATTTAATTTGAGTCAAATTTTCAGGCTAACAAGACAAATAATCTTACACATTCTGAAAACAAGATTATTATTCTTACACAATCAGTTCTTGTTTAGTAAATCAGTCTCAAAACAAGATAAGATTTTAAAACTTGGTTAGGTGGACATTTTTTGCAGTGTATAAAATGGTTTTCTTTCTTGTTAAAGAGGATAAACTAATATGAAGACCAGAGAAAAGAAGGAAAATCAATCAGAGCCACTGGACAAACACTGGGCATAGCAAGCACGATGATTTGAAATGTCCTGAATAAGAAAGAAACCACTAGTGTACTTAGCAAGAGACATACAACAGGTTGACCAAGGAAAACAGTATCACAATCCACTGTTGGAAGAAGACTCAGAGCAGAAATATAGAGGCTTTACACAAAGATGTAAACAACTCATCAGTAATGAGAATCAGAAGACCAGATTGAAATTTGAAAAGAAGTACTGGGATAAGTTGAAAAAGTTCTGGAAGACAAACTTATGGACTGCTGAGGCAAACATTAATCTCTACCAAAGTGATGGAAAGGCCAAAGAAAGAAACTGCTGATGATCTGAAGCACACAAGCTCATCTGTGAGTCATGGTGCAGGTGATGTCATGGCTGCTTCTGGAACAGCCTCATTAATATTTATTGATGATGGAACTGATAACGGCAGCAGCAGAATGAATTTCGAAGCGTCCAGAAACGTTTTTTCTGCCGGTTTACGGAGATGCATCCAAACTAATCTGGAGTAATTTTATCATGAAGCAGGACAATGACCCAAAGCACACTGACAACAAAACAGAGGAGTTTATCAGGGGAAAAAGTGATTGTCCAAGTCAATCACCTGACCTGAACCCAACAGAGCAGTTCACCTCCTGAGGAGGAGACTGAAGGGAGAAACCCCTCGAAACAAACAATAGAATAGAACAGAATAAAACTTTAAAGGGGCAATATCATGTAAAATCAACTTTTTTGAGTTTTATATCATGTTATAATGTTATCCTCTCATAAAAAACCATGCCCAAAGTCTTTCTTTGACTCATTCATGCATGTTTGAGAAATCCTGCAGCGTTTTTAGGAAGCCATGCTGAGGAGCAAAACGACAGGTGGGGACCCGAAACACCTTTTGGTACCAGAAACGCCCCTGGGACGTGTCTTTAAGCTGAACTTCCTCATGGCAGAGCGCCACCCCTTCGCCCCCTCCCCACACACTCCGCCCATGACTCCTGCAGGCTCTCCGGTGAAAGTGAAAGTGAAACCGAACTGTCTGCTGAGCTCTCAACATTAGTTCTCACACAGTGAAGCTCTTTTCAGGTTAAAAATACTTTCGAGGAAAGTATTTTCAGATGCCAAGTAAACTGTATCATAGCAGCCCCCCCCTCCCCCCGCACTGAAATGGGCGAGACAGAAGCGGAAGGTGGTTCTTAAAGAGACAGAGGCCAATTTCAAGGCGTTTAGAAGAGGAAGTGATGAGAAGATTTATTTTCTATTTAAACATAAAAACAGCATTTTAATAACAACTAAAGGTGACACGGATACTTTATTATGGTATAGTATTTAAATATATGCCTGAGAAACATATAATATTGGCCCTTTAATGTCCACCATAGTGGAAATTTGTCTTTGGCTCACTAGACATAGAATACAGTATACTGAAATATACAAAACAACACATCAACCATAACTCTAAAAACCTATAAGAATTCATAAAACAAATTCATAAAAACATTTATTTAAAAAATTAATATGAGATTTAAAATACCTCCACCCCCAACATCTCAGTCAGATATACATGCTGTCGCTTAGTTTGATTTAGAATGGTGATGGCGCTTGGGACAAAGGGTTTAAAAAATACTTTTTGCCAGAGGAACTCTAAATCGTCTTCCAGACTTCAAAAGCTCAAATTGACTAAAAAGAGGGTGTGAACTATCTGCAGTAATTTTCTTAGTAATAGTAATAGTAATAGTAATACTCTTAGTAATTTTCCTCCTTGTCCTGTCAGTGTAAAGGTGGATCACAAACCTTAAAGGTTTTCCCACTATGTTACTTGCCATTGTCACAATTTTATTTCATTTGTTCCTGCCTTTGCAGTTTAGTTAGCCAGACCATGCAGAGAGGTGAAATGTTAAGACACTCTCAATGTGACAAGACATGAAGACAAGAACTGAAAGAAGTTGCAGTAAAAGTCTGAAACATCACAACAGAAGAACGCAACAGTTTGATGACGTCACTGGGTCGCAGGTATAACACAATCATTGCAAACAAGGGTTACGCCCCCAAATATTAAATGTTATTTACTTCAAGATGATTTGTTCCAATACTTTTGCTCACCTAAAATTCTGCAGTGTAATACAAACAGTATAATAGTACAACATCCTAAGTTGTTTAACACACCTGGAAATAAAAGCTGACATTCAGAACTTTTGTCTCGTGCTCATCTTTGGATCGTAAACCCAAAAGTCTTCAGTGAACAACAAAAACAAGAGAGTTTGACTTGTTCCAATACTTTTGGAGGGGACTGTATAACTCCAAAAGTCAATCAGTTGTAGACGTTCATCTACAGCACAGCCCCGATTGTATCAGTTTTATTGTTGTATAATATATAAATAAAAACAGATGTTGATTTGCAAATCCTTTCCAACCTATATTCAATTAATTACACTGCAAAGACAAGATTTATTGTTCAAACAAATAAACTTTTTTCAAATATTCACTCATTTTGAATTTGTTACCTGCAACATGTTTCAAAAAAGCTAAAACAAGCTGTTTACCACTGTGTTACATCATCTTTCCTTTTAACAACACTCAATAAGTGTTTGAGAACTGAGGACACTAACTATTGAAGCTTTGTAGGGATTCTTCTTGTCTGATGAACAACTTCAGCTGTTTAAATGTGTTTTTAAACAAGTGTGTTGCCTTTTTTACACACTTGTTATTTCTCATGTCTGTAAATCCACAGGTGTTCATGACTATGTAGATCACATTCCAGAGCTCGTCATAATTATTTAATTATATAATGGTTGAATTGTTTTCCACAGCTTTTAATTGCATTGAAGTAAATAAACTTTATTGTTCTAAGAATTGCAAAAACCAACACGCCTATTTCATTACACATATTGTTCACAATGTGAAAAAACATCATTAAACACACTGACACAACAAATATAATATATTCTAGACTTCCTTTTTTCTTTTCTTTTCATTATATATATG